GTGAATTTGGCGCTATAGAAATAAACTGAATTGAATTGAATTAGCAATTTTTTAGAGAGTTAAGGATAGAAATAAGTAGTTTTAGTACCATAATGACATTAGTTATGGACTCCTGAATGTATATCTGTTCGCGCATGCGCAGGATGGATCGTGCCTCCGGGACGGATCGGGTAGTGACTGATACCTTCTTCAACTTTGTGTGGATGTGGCCTTAACATCAATTATGATTGTTTTCTGTGCAGTTTGAAATGCAGACAGACCTCAGTCTGACTGACAACCTTACAGCGCAGGATAATAGTTGAGGTTTTTCTGATCCAAACTAACAATTTCATTGAGCTAAAATAGTTTGAGTTGATTCCAAGATATGTTTTTACTGAAGCATATTGCATTCACCTGAAAAAAAAAAAGAACTTTAAGTTAACAAGATAATTTTGATTTAAAAAAAATACATTAAATTCATAACATAAACTATGAAGAGAAGAGGAAGGGGGGGGGAACAACCATACCATGAATAGCGAGCAGTGTGCAGGCGTCTTCTTAAAATTCACAAACTAATAGTGATGGCATCTGCATAGCTAAGAAACAAGAGGCTTCTTCATTCTCAGTCCCAAAAGAAAGTGAAATGGATTAAACCCGACAAACAGAACGTTTTGAAGTTCTTCTGAAGGAAAGGCATCTCTTGTTTAGAAATCTGCATTGCCAACAATAACAGACCCTCCTCCATGAAATCACAGCAGCATTATCTTGTTAATTCAGAAAAAACAGACACATTTCTTTCATTTTTTCTAGGTGAGTGCAATATGTTTATGTAATTATTCAATCGTTTTATTGTTTGTTTTATTTTATTCTTAACACCGTGAGGGTTTAGCTGGGATTTGGCTGCGTTTCCAGCTGCCTGACCATGCTCTCTCCCAGCTGGTTTAGCTCTGGCTTTATAAACAGAAGCTCAGGTGTAATGAAAGGTTGTGATTAGCTCGGTCTGCCTGGGCATAAAGAGTCATGATTAGGACACTTTACTGATGTTCCTCTATATATTACACTGTGTCACGGTGAAGACTGTCAGGGCGAGAGACACAGAAGCAGGAAGATTATTGGGAAACGAATGAATGCTTTAAATTCATTCTGGACCTAAACAGATCCTCATAATGAATGAATGAATTTAATTTAATTTGATCCACTGATGCACAACAGATTCACTTTTAGTGTTTGAAGGCACGCTTTATGCATCTGACAGTGTTTCCATTTTAGTTCTTCAGGTTTGAAAAGATTCACAGAAAGATAAAAACATTGCAAAAAGAAATAAAAGTGTCCTAAGTATTAAAAGCCAGTTTTAAAAAATTTGTCTTTAATCTGGATTTAAAAAGGTGCAGATCAGTGAGAACCTGCAGACCGAGGAGCAGAGGTGCGTTAACCACAAAGGAACGGTCATACCGGGACCTAGGGACGTCCAGAACCATTTGATCAGCAGACCGCAGAGCTCTGCTGGGGCGATGTCCGGTCAACTCAGTTAAATATACCGGAGCAAGACCGTGAAGGGCTTTAAAAACAAGTATTAAAACTTTAAAACTAATACGAAAATGGAACGGGAGCCAGTGCAGGGGTGAGAGGATGGGAGAGATGTGGCTTTGCCTGGAAGAGCCAGAGACCAGCTGCTGCATTCTGTACTAAGTGTAACCGTTGCAGTGATGACTGTGGGAGGCCAGAGTAGAGAGCGCTGCAGCAGTCCAACCGAGAACTAATAAATGATTAGTTCTCGGCTGCCTTACAGGCCTCCACCCGGCTGTGTTGAGCCCATGTAAATTTCGGGCCGTGACAAAAGTACAGGCTTGAACCAAATAAGGCAACATCCCTGAGTTTACGTCATCTCGGGGCTTCGTTTGGATTCGCCCGTTTTATGCTGGAAGTTTAGAATTGTGAGATTTCCAGGGAAAGGAGGAGTCGATGGAGTTTGAACTTTCCTATACGTCCATTTCACCCACTGAACTATCATTATTCATCTATGACTATGTAAAATCAGTTCAGCATTCTATGAACCCTTTAAGTAGTTTTTCAGCTTCAAAATAAATCCTTTTACTGCAGACTTTTCTTCTTACCTGCTAAACCATAAAATAAACCTTAAATACTTTAAAGAGACATTCACAAAAAGAACAATATTTTTTCGATCAATAAAATGGTTTCCAGCACTTTCCTTTTTACTTTTACAACTTTTCAAGTTGAATCTTCTATATTTTGGTTCAGTAGTAAATGTTTTAGCAAATGAACAACAGGAGCTCTCATTATAACCCCTGGCTTTGTTCAGCTGAGTTTAACTGAACCGTTCGGCTCATCATCTCTGAATGTTAATGATTCCAAGTGCTATGAAACGTAACCAGAGAAAAATAAAATATACATTTTGTTTTAATCATTGAAGAAAATTATAGATGACTTTAGTTTATAATCCTGTCGAAAGAAAAAATCCCAAAAAGTTTCAGTCTGCTTTAGCTCAGGTAGCTGGAGCTGATCTTATGGTTCATGAACACAAAATTATTCAAACAGACTAAAAATGTCACTTTAGTCAACCATGTTTTTACAGGAACATTTTATATCAATTTGTTGATAGAAAATAAAATGGCATTGATTAATTGTTGATCTTTGTTAATAAGGCCAAACCAATCAGTCAAGTGTACAAATGGGGAATTTGCAGGTCATATATTGAAAAAATTTAAGCTTTTCATTTTTTCCCATTAAATATGTGGTGTAAAAGGAAGAAGTATAACTTCCTTATTTTGTTTAAAAATAAACTTTCAAAATAAATGTGCAGCAGTTTCTTAATACAGAAAACAGAAGAAGCATCTTGGATGTTAAACAATATATGAATATTGTATTTACTGAGGGGGAAAGTGATTTTCTGTCAGTAGTTTTTGTTCCTGTTTGTATATTTTTGGAAGTATTTTCTAATTAGTTTAACTCTGAGTGGATCTTTCAGTCAGGTCATGTTTATGCTCCAGATCTGGGAATCTTTCTCTGCTACTAATGGAGACTCTGAATGACTTCCAGTCACTCGGTCATCGCTTTGCAATTTACAGCGAGGCATCGGGCAAATCCCAGTGCAGCAAACAAAGCTGGTCTGTGGGAACGTTGGGGTGGAGCGTTGATGGTGTAGAAACTCTCCACAGCTGGAGAATTTAATTATTCTTTCTTGCATATGTTGTACTCTGCATTGAAATAAGATCTGTTTTGCCTGTTAATTATGCTCAGGCTTGTAGCTTAGTTATTCTCTTTTCCATGTTTAAAATCCTGAATTTTTAAACACAAACGAACAGCATGAATGCAAACGCCCTCCGAAGACTTCAGCTCAAACATGAAGTCATCAAGTGCACGTATATGAAGGGATTTATCCAGAGGAAGAGATCAGCAGAAGTACGTTAGCTTTGAGGTTTAGCCAAGCGGCTTCCTGTGGGGGAACCTAAATGCTCTCTAAGGAGCCCAGTCTCTCTCTAATGTTGGTTGGAAATCTGGCAGTATCCTGATAGATGCCATATATGCTTCTGAGACGTGTTGGCATGCTTTCCCACCAGTTGGCACCAGAGTTGTGTAATTTATATTAGCCAACGCTGCAGCAGTTGTGCAAGTCTCTCCTCTTTTCTACATAATAGAGCCGTGTCCTCCTTGTGAGGGTTTAACTGCCCTGCAGCGGTGTTGTTAAAAGGTTGACGGCGGTCAAAGTCCCGTCTGCGTTTGGTTTACACTAAACATGCTGTTTGGCCTTTTAAAGGCTACTTAGAACTAGATCTGCACATTTGTTGTTTGGGTGAGAAGCTGCAGTCTCGATCTTGATGTCTGAGCCGATTTTAAATGTTTCTACACTTTCACAAAGGTTATTTTTGTTTATTTTTCTTTTTAATGTCTTTAGAGATCCTGGCTCTAAAATGCGATATTGACCTTTAAAAAAAAAATAGTATTTCAACCTGATTCTGTGTTGCTGTGATCATCTCTGCAACAACAACTATCAACAATGATGTCATTTGATCAGGAGGCCACGTCTCACAGGATGTGGTCGCTTTTAGGCTCTCAGTTCCCAACATGGCTAGCATCTACTTTTTGTTTTGTTTTTTTGTTGTTCTTGTCTGTTTTTCTATCCAGGTTGATACGGATCTACTAAATCTTATTAACTTAACCAGCAGCCTTTGCTGACTCAGCCGTACCAAACTAAATATTTTCTGCATGAATGCTGCAGGGTGAATAAACATCGGGTTCCTCTACCCTTTTTTGTTTGTCTGTTATTTCTTCATAGTTTGGGTCTCATTAAAGCTGCTGCTGCACATCTGTTGCAGTCATTACATGTCTGCCGCTCCACTCTGTTATTTGTCAGAGATCATGTCCTGGAGCTACGTTCCTCCTCCATCGGGCTTTTTTTCTCCTGTCGGCACTTGTTTGGTTTGTCTTTACCTTGGCATGGCAGTGAAGGGTGCCGATCTGTCTCTACCTGAAATCTATGCCCAAACCAGACCAAGTACGCGCTGATAACGTCACCGCCTCGGGTTTGTTTACACTTTTAAAACTGCCGCCCTGCAGCTTTTGGATGCCTCACTTCTTTAAATAACACCTGAAGTTAATTCTCCCCATCAGCAGGTTCTTCAGCTCTGCAGAGGCCTGATAAGCCTTTCTTTGAAAAAGATGCATTAATGCATTTTGGTGTGGCATCACTATAACGGTTCCTCTGATTTTGTCTGACTGAATTATTGAATTCACATATTTCTATCTTCGTTTGATTGTAATCCGAGTGCACATCTTAACGGCTTACCAGCTTTGTTTGTGATGTTAAAACACAGATGGTCTGATCACAGCTTGCAGGCGTCACTAATGTGCGATGTTTGTTTAAAAATTGGTCTCTGGGAACGGAACACCTGTAACCACAGCTAACGTGCGCGCTCTTCTGTTTATGTTGGGAATAAAACTGACTTGAACATGTATTTTTTTCTTTTATTAGTGACATTTATGTTTTTACTTTTCTCTCACAGATGAATCTCCAGTTTCTTTTGATAGCAGTTTTGGCAGCGGTCCTCAGAGGCAGCTTGGCTCAGCAAGGTAAGAAGCAAAAAACCAGATACCAACTGTTCACTATTAACCACCATTTCCTGTGTATATAGCTCAATATTAGTGCAGTGCCTGCTTTTATAAACTGCCATGCAACAGTTTTCACTCCCCTTGATTTAAATAAGGACCCTAAACTTCACCATTGGGAAAGTTGTTCTTAACTGTTCAGTAAAAGCTGAGCTTTTTTTTTTTTCTTTATTCAACCTTTTCTTTCTTTTTTACAAAAATAAACCTGTAATCACTGCAAAAAATAGAAATCTCAATAAGTTATTTTTTCTTAAAATAAGTGTGTTTTTCCTTGATTTGAGGAGGTAAGTAAGACACTTTGCCAATGGAACAAGACAATTTCCTTTTAAAATAAGAAAAAACTATTTTATCGTCTTATTTCAAGTAAATATTATCTAACTATCTTATTTTAAGAGTAGAAATACTCATTCCATTGGCAAATCATCTTATTTACCTGCTCAAATTAAGGCTAAATATACTTAATTTAAGCCATTTTTTACTGATTTCTGGATTGTTTTTGCAGTGATATTATGATATAAAACCTCTGCTAGTATTTTTTTTAACCATCTCTCCCCACTGTTACGACTATAGTCTCTGGGGAAAAAAATCGAAATCTAGGTGAGTAAAATTTTTCTTAAAATAAGTGCATTTGTTCTTGGATTGAGGAGGTTAAAGAGACATTTTGCCAATGGAACAAAACGATTTACACTTAAAATAAGAAAACACAATTGCATCATCTTATTTCAAGTGCATATTATCTAATTCTCTTATTTTAAGAGTAAAAATACTCATTCCATTGGCAAACTATCTTATTTACCTACTCAGATTAAGGGCAAATACACTTAATTTAATACATTTTGACTTATTTCTAGGTCATTTTTCCAGTGTTCTTAATTGCAGAATGGCTCAGTCAAACTGGATGGAGAGCATCTGAAACTGGAACTTTAAGTTCTGGATACAGATTCTTGATTTGACTTTGACCAGGTCCAATTTTAACTTCTACATAGGCTTAGATCTGTTTCATTGCTTTTCATCCCCTGCTACAGGGTCCCCAGATACTGCTCTATCCATCTAACATTCCCACAGCATGATGCTGCCAAACCCTAACCTGAATCTGAAACCTTTGGTTGAAGTAATTTTGGGAAGGGGCGAAAAATACTGGTTAGCTGATTGGCCTATGTTGGTTATAGACGGGCCAAATAAACCAATCAGATCAACGAAGCATATGATGTAGCAGAGCGGCGACGAAGAGGAGCCAATTGATAGATTAAACTCTTGCCGAAACCAGTCGGGAGAAGAGCAAAAACCTCTTTTCCTCTGAGAAAAGCCTCCAGAGCAGTGTTTTGCTCTTGTTTTAGTGAAGAAATACTCTGTAATTCCGATAAAACTTGCTCGATAGCCACGCTAACGCTAGTTTCATCGGCTGAAGCCGCCATGTTCTTTAGACTGCACGGTCTCACGCTTCTCATTGCGTCACACCTCAACCAGCCTCGAAGCCAACGCTGATTGGACGTTCGTTTGGTGAACGGCTCCAAATTTTCTTCAACGGAGAGTCTCCAGACTGATTAGCGAGTGAAACCTTGAAAGCTCGCGAGATCAGGATGGTCTCACGAGGCTAGCCAAACCCATGTTTAGTATGATTGCTGCTGTTTTTTTGAGACCCTCAAAGAACAGATGCATTTATGTTCATATGAAACAAACTTGATGTACCAATTAGCTGACTACTGAAGTTAGTCGATTTAGTTAAAAACATTCAATTATTATTTTTTTAAATTAAGACCTTAATTAGCATTAAAATTCATTAAATGTGATTATCGTGGCATTTAAAATGCTTTATATATAAAAAAAAAAACATTTTAGAAAAACAATTTCGTCAGATATATTATATCACAATATATTTGCGCAGAACTGCTTCTGGTTGAGCGTAAAGCCGTATGTTCAGCAAATTTCAACAAAATTAGCTGGAAAACAAGGAATTCAGGACAAGGCTGCAGCCTGTCGACGGTAAAGATGAAAAGGATTTTTATATACATAGGTGGGTACTTGTTGATGGCATTAAAATAAGTTCTTAGAGCATTAAAAAACATTAAGTTAGAGTTACTCATTCCTGTATAAACCCTGAAAGAGTATAACGGTAAAGGAGGCACAAATGCACGAAACGGGTCTGATTTTAGCCCGTAAAACAAAAAAGATTCTACTAAAATCTAAAATTGCTTCAGGGGAATGAAACTGTTACCATGGCGCTGCATAACATGTCTCGGCATGTGCATTTTTAAGGCTTTAGATAGGTTTTTGTTGGTAACCATTTAAAGATTTCTCTTTTTTTACTCCACCACCAACACCATGACATCATCAGCTGGTCAGCTGCCTGAAACGTTTCCCATCTTGACTCATTTTCTGAGCTAGAAAGGGGTTTCATTTTCAGGCAGCAGCTGGTTTGAGTTAGTGAGCTAATGGAAAATGTGTTTTCTGCCTTAAGCTCAGAGGAACTTTTCTCTTCCAGATGCCAGCAGCTGCATCAAGGCGAACGCACAGTCATGTGGGGAATGCATCCAAGTCTCCGAGACATGCGGGTGGTGCTCTGATGAAGTGAGTTCAATCAGTTAAACTGTCTTTGGGTTATTTTATCATGGGTAAAATATGTCCATGAAATATCTTGGGCTTTGTTGGCTTTTAGATGTTTCATAGGACATGGGTCAATGGGTGCATTAAGGTATATGCACTTTAATTTTATTAAAGCCAACGCTCAATTATCAAACTGCAATATAACTGATATAAATTTACAACAACATTTGCTCTTTTTCGTAAAAATAAACTTTTTTTTGTTGTTGTTGTTGAATCTAATACAATTGTCTTTGAAAATAAACTCAACAATCCTACAGGGTGTTGCAGTTTGAGGCAGCAATACGGCATCAAACAGCTTCATTGTGCTCTATGTTTCTGTATTATGACCTTAATGTGCATTTTATCTCACCTATCCTGTTACGTTGCACTATGATTGGTCAGCATTAGCCTGCATATTGGCACACAACAAATACTGGTTTCTTGGCTTTTTCCTGACATTGGTTCCTGTTTTGTCTTATCTGGTATTTACTAAAAGGCTAAAGTTAGCTTTCTGAGTTTCATAAAAGATCAAGTACAGTCATTTGGAGTGTTAAGAAAGGATTATTCTGTTTTATATTCATAGAAGCGCTCATGCTTTGGATGGTGTAGAGGGGAGAGGAAGGCCTTAACCCTTTAAAGCCCGATCCAAGAATAAAACAAAACAGAAAATTACTTTTTTTTGGTTTAGTCCTTATTTGGCCTTTTTTGCAAAATATGTAAAAAGAAAAACAGAAATACATTAAAGATATTAATAATTTATTACTATGCGATAAGTCAAGATCATTTTTTGTGTAGTCTTCTACTGGCTGTTATCAGGTATATCTGATTGTGTAAAATAGGATTTTGAGCAAAGTTTTTACCATTAAATTATGCAAAAGGTGTCAGACGCAAAACATTTCAGAAACCGTATGTATCTAATATGAAACATTTGGCATTACAGGGTTAAGAATGATTGTTGAAAGAATTTAGGTCAAAGAACAGATTTTATTTTTGTTCTGAGTTACTTGTCTCGTGCTTTTCCTCTGGGTGTTGTCTCTGTGGAGTCCGTTCTGCAGCCATTCCCTGTGATCCTCCCTTTCAGGATCGGTCCTGATACTCTACATTGATAAAAGAAAACATGTTCGTACTCTGTGGACATAAATCACCTGTGCACTTGTACCCTAAAGGTTGCTTTTTTTAGTTAGGGAGTTAACAGAAACAGTTTTTTTTTTTTTATTTATTAAATTTATCTTGGTTACACAGCACCGTTTTACAACAAATGTCATCTTGAGGCTCTTTACAAATCTAGTCGCTCTTTTTTTTTTTTATAATCGTAATTTCATAGCCAATAAAAAGAAATTGCAGTTGTACAGAAATAAAAGTTTCAATCATGTTCAGCTTAATGTGATTCTAATTATGATCAAATGCAGTCAGATTCATAATGTCAGTTACAAACACCAGAAAAAACAACTCCATCCATTTAAGGAGGCCCTGCTGATTACATCCAGTCTTTGACTTTGCAGAAACCTCTTCTCCTCGAGGCCCAAAAATACGTGCGCATTGGTCTGTCACGCCGGTATATGCGCGCCGTGCGCAAGGCCATAGAAGCGCGGTACGCTTTTATAGTTGCAGTTGCATTACTCTCAAAAACCACAGAGGGGCAGTGATCTACAGAAGAGAAGAAACGGTTGATGTCCCACGTCCTAAATGGCTGAGCGCTGTATTGTTTATTGACAAAGTGATGATTATTGAAGAATGATACGTTTGTTACACAGAAATATAAGGTGGAATAAAAATGTAGGCTTACCTGCTGCACATAGAGAGACGTGACGATGGGTAAACCAGCACCCTGCAAATCCCATATGGACCTTTCTTTGTTTTTATATAACCTATAGAAAAAAAGTCTTTCACTTTATAAAAGCTGAATGCATTGTATGCTAGGGGTGAGGTGGAAAAAAAAAAACAATTCGGTGATATATGTCGTGATTTTTGGCTGCCCGATATAATATCAGTCTTTTATTTCTTAGTATTGATTTTAAAAAAAGCAAAACATTTTCACCCAAAACAATAACGGAAAATGAGCTACCTCTGCACTGCTTCTCTGGCAGATAGAGCTGTGGAGTCCTCATGCTGTGCAGCATATCTGTAGTTCAGGCAGTCACAATGGAAGAGCAGCACTTGCTTTTTTATCTATGCATTTCATTTTGATAGTCGGAAAAATATTTTAATATATCGTATTATGACCCAAGTGTTGTGATTTGTATCAAAACGCAATACCCACGCCACTACTCACCCCAACTGTATTTCATGGGTAGTTTCAGACTTTATTTTTTATGTGATTGAAACCGAAACTAATGTCCTTGTTTTCACCACAAGCTTGCCCAATGAACTCCCCCGTTTGCTATTTTCAGTCACTAAATAAACTTAGCATTTAACCAACCTGTTCCACTTTAACCGTCTGCACCATTTGATGTCAATAAAGGCAAACTTCTTTGAGAACATCATATAACCCTATTTGGAACGAGGCTGGCGTGTGCGGTCCGTTGCAGGTTTTACAAAAACTCAGAGGTGCGCGATATAGCGCGTAAGCTGCACGCGGTCCGTCCTCACGCCCTTAATGACACGGCGAGTTTAAACCAAGCATCAGGGAGCGCTGGGTGAAAGTGATTGTTTGATTCCACTCAATCATTAACTTTAAAACAGTCGCTTTTAATGAGCAAGCATGTGCCAAAACTGTATGACTTTTAAAGAAATCTCTTGTTCTCTGTGACAGAGAATGCTTCATTGAAATCTGTGGTTAACTTCGCTGTTTTCCTTTTTTAAGAAAGTTAAATGCTGAGTCAATAATTCACTCCATCTTTATGAGTCATCATTTGGCAGTGGTTGATGATTGATTGTTTCAAAACCTAAATTTGTAGCAGTGGGGGGTAGTGAAACCTGGTGGGACATGATTGGAAGGAATGGACCCCCAGGTGTGAACCAGACCAGTGTTCCATTACTGGACTTCTGTGCAAGTCGTAGTTTGTCCAGAATGAACACTGTGTTCATGCATAAGGATCAGGGGACCTGGCATCGGGGCACCCTAGGCCGGAGGTCCATGATTGACTTTGTAGTTGTATCCTGTGACTTCGACATTTGAATAAACTGGAAGAGGAGGAGGCCTGGACAGACTTGGCAGGCCCAGGTGAGTAGTGAGGGTCTGCTTGGGACGTCTGGTTTAGCCCTCGGTCAGGGAAGTGTTTAACTCCTACCTCCAGTTGGTACGCAGTTTGGTCCACATTGCTGGCATTAAATGAGACTTGCTCCCGGTGCATGCTGCTTACCGACAGGACTGCCCTCTGGCACCGGTCCTGTTTATAACCTCTATGCACAGGATTTCAAGGACGTCAAGCGCGTCCATGTGGGTCCAAATTAGCAAACAACCGAAGCACTATATTCAAGATAGATGATAAACTCCAGCTACGAGAACGAGCAGAAGAGTGCTGCAGTTCTGTTTAGGCCACAGGTGGCAGTATAATTAGAAAACTCTGTATTGCCTCTTTAATGACAAATTTTAAGTTAGTCCCTTAATATGAGACCAAATGACACCAAAGAAAATTCCATAATTAGACACCTTATAGTGTATCTCACAATACTGGCAAACTATCTCATTTACATATTCAAATTAAAGGTAAATACACCTAATTTAAGACAATTTTACTTATTTCTAGATAGTTTTTTCCAGTGTTGCTGCACTAATTGCTAATATAAGATGCAAAAGCTGGTTTGGAAGGACTGGTTATCCTCCAGCAGCAGTGTTTCGCAGTTAGTTTTTCACAAATGTTTTTGATTTATGCCCAATATTGAAGCGTGGTCTTTGCTATGTTATTCCACGCCACAACGCAAGAGGGACAATCAGGAACTAGCTGTGGGTCTAGATTCGGCGAAAATGGAGGGACATGAGGGCGGAAAAGAGCAGGGATCCAGGTTTGAAAAAGGGTCCCAGCGTTCTCACGCACATCGCTCTTCTAGCAGGTCAATCTTCACGAGTCGTTTTCCACAATGGCGGTCATACAAACAAAACAAGCCGGTAAGGTACCAAACAGGAAATATGCATAGTGTAGAGCAGATGTAGATTTGACCAATCAGAGGCCTCCTGTCTGTGGTCACCTACAATTTTGGAGAGGAGCACCAGAGTGTCTGCGGAAGGGGCAGGGGCATATCTGTGTTAATTGCGACACACGCAGACGACCTGGTTTCTGAATATAAATAATCCTTTAGGGGTTGGTTCTGTTAAGTGTTGCAGCTAATGGATTATATCTCTAATTTATTATTATAATTATTTTTTTGACTGGATAGCAAAAGGTGCCTAATTGGAGATTTTTAACAGCATTTGAAGCTGAAGGGGTTCTGTATAGATTATATTTACAGAATAGAATGTTTTTCATCATAAATGCAAAGTTTATGAGGTTTAGTCCGATTATTGGGCTGAGTGGGTTGTTGTTTCATCAAATGTCATGTTTCAGCATATGTATACTGCAATTCACTCTGTTGAATTAGTTGATGATTATTTTAATGATTAACTTTTTTTTTTAAGCCCCACTTACGAGAGCAGAGTCTCATTCATCAGTATTAACTGTTTAAACTGCAACAACATTTTTTGTTCTAGAAAAGAAAACATGAAATATATTCAGATTTGAAATGAAAATATTCAGGCTACATTTTGTTTCCTCTCAAATGAATAAATCTTTTGAAATAAATGTTTTTTTATTCTTTTAGGACTTTTGGTGTTTGTTTTCCATCAATGTAATGGAGCCTGTGTTCATGAGAGGCTCTGCAGAAACAGCTTGGTTTCCCTAACAATTTCTTTGCCTTATCGCAGAATTTCCTCACGATTGGTTCTCCCAAGTCAGCCCGTTGTGACGACCTGGAGTCCCTGAAGGAAAGAAAATGTAAACAAATTGAAAACCCGCGTGGAAGCATCACCGTCGACAAGGACAGACCAGTCACGGTTCGCAAGGACAGGACTGAGAAACTGAAACCTGAGCAGATCACCCAGATCCAGCCTCAGAAACTCACCCTGAAACTCCGATCTGGTAAACATATCATACACTGTAGCATTTATGTTTTTGTTATAAACTACAGAAATGTGAAAAATGTTGTTTTCGGAGAGGTTATGAGTTTTTCTGTTGCCGTGTGAACAGAGCAGAGGTAGATTATCGATGGCCTCTCCGCTCCTTTGTTTTTCCTCAGGTGAGCCGCAGACCTTTAAGCTGAAATTCAAGCGTGCTGAGGACTACCCCATTGACCTGTATTACCTGATGGACCTCTCATACTCTATGAAGGACGACTTGGAAAATGTTAAGAACCTTGGCACCGACCTAATGAGGGAAATGCAGGACATCACCACAGACTTCAGGATTGGTGAGTGAAAAACCAGTGAGATAAAAGGCATCAGATGCATTAGGACTGCAGAATATTAAAAACCTGCAGTAACATTGCTTAATGTCCAGATTAATGCTGCATCCAGAAGTGTTCAAAACTTCTTCACTTTTTCAACATTTTCTTATTTTTCAGCCTTATTCCAGAATAAAATCAGTTAAGCTGTCCTTTAAACACCTTCACACAAATTTGTGAGCAGATTTTATGTGGAAAGAGGTTAATTTGCACATTGTTCAAATTCTTCCACACAAATTCGACATGCTTGTGTGTATTAGGGATGGAACGGTTTATGAAAACCGTCCGAACCGTTCGGTTCGACTGTCTCAGTTCGGTTCGCGTGTGTTGCGTTCGTTTCATGCGCTGCTCCTTTTTCTCATAGGCGAAGCGTTTACACTCCAGAGCAGAAGGTGGCGGTACTGCGACCAAAGCCAACCACCAGTAGTAAACAAGAAGAAGAAGAAGCGAAGCAGCTTAGCCGGGTGTAGCAGCACTTTATAGGTCTGCTGTATGGGAGCGCTTTGCATTTAGAGTGACCTACGATGACGGCGGAAAGAAAGTTGTGGATAAAAGTGCAACAGGGTGCAAGCATTGTGCAACACATGTTGTTTATGCTAACAGAAACACGACCAACATGTCAGGCTAACAATCAACATATACCGAACCGAACCGAAAACCGTGACTACGAAACCGTGAACCGAACCGAACCGTGGATTTTGTGAACGGTTCCACCCCTAGTGTGTAGATGTTCCATAAAAAAAAAGAATTAAAGCGCCGTAATAACTGTCTGGATGCACTGTAAGCATGCAGCGTTGATGACTTTCTGCTCTGGGTCCGTCGCAAAAAATTTGGTAAGTTTCTGTTGCCTGACGAGTGTTGGACTGTCGTCAGATATTCAGGAGGACGAGCAGCATCATGGTGGCTCTCTGCGCCACGCTGATGGGCGGTTCTAGATGGGGGGCCAGCAGGAGCCAGTTTGACTGTAGAGCAGGTCCTGGCCCCTCATATGGGTCATGTACAAATAAATTACTCTGCAAGAAAGTAATCTGCAAAATAAACTGAATTGAAAATTTAAAATCCTAGTACATCCGTTTTTCTTGAATTAAAAGCATTTTCTTTGATTTTAACAGGAAGGTTAGACAATAAGGTTAGAATAAGATGATGTACATTTAAAATAAGAGCAAAACAACTTTACTGACTTATTTTAAGTGCATCATATCCTTTTATTAGATATAATGCAGAATGTCTTACTGTAAGCGGAAAGACACTCATTCCTTTTGCAGATTATCTTATTATCTGCTTAAATTAAGGGAAAATACCGTTATTTTAAGAAGGTTTTTCCTTATTTAGATCGATCTTTGCAGTGTAACACTAAATTGATTTATTATATCAGCTTACAGAAGAGAACGTAAATGATTAATCTCCTTGAACCAATTTAATATTTAAGTTTAAAAATTAACTTGTAATTAATTAGAAACTAGTGTGCACCAGCCGTATTAATATCTGATCACAGTTTTCATCTGTTAGATCTGGACTTGGCTTTGTGTGTCACCTAAAATGCTAAACAAGCTGCTCTTTCCTTTTGTTATATATTTAGTTTTTAGTATCAACTTTTTTTTTTTTTTTTTTTTTTTGCTCCCATACAAACAACTTTGGCCCCACCTTGGTAAGCGTGGTAAATTTAGTCTGGAAGGTAAAAAAGACTTACCGGTAGATAGAAGATCATCCAGTTCGCCTTCTTCACTGACAGGAGGTGTGAAAATGTGGGAATTTGTCTCAAATGTAAATTATGTAATATGTAAAACTATGAGAGAATCTAATCCAAAAGATCTTTCTGATTGGCCAAACATGTGAAAAGTTCAGTTTTAACGGTGAAACACTTTGGCTTTCTGTGTGAGTGACAAAACAGTGACGTATTTTCTACATTTTAATGTTTATTGCAGTTTAGTTTCCTGTGGTTTGCCCATCACACAGAATGATCAAAAATAAAATAAAACTGATTAGGATCATATTTATATTTCCTGTTTCTGTCTTTATCCTCCAATCAGTCTGCCCTTCCTCCTTATTATCAGTTTCTTTGCCCACTTTGTGAGATCGTCTCTTCATCCAACCATAGTTTTATTTTTTTTTTAGATATTTTATGTTACTGTGTTGAAATTTGAGTCAAGTCGATGTTTTAAAGCAGAGCTGAAAGAGGAAGAGGAAGTTTCAGTCGATGCACCTGATGTCTCCGCTCCAATTTCTGATCATATTTCCTGGTTTCCAGGTTTTGGGTCTTTCGTTGAGAAGACAGTCATGCCCTACATCAGCACAACCCCGGCCAGGCTGCTGAACCCGTGCTCCGGCCACAACTGCACCAGCCCCTTCAGCTACAAGAACGTCCTAAAGCTCACCAAAAACGGAGACGAATTCAACCAGCTTGTGAGCCAGCAGCAGATCTCTGGCAACCTGGACTCCCCAGAGGGGGGGTTTGACGCCATCATGCAGGTGGCAGTGTGCGAGGTGAGCCTTTCATTCCTGCTGTTCGGACGGAAGGCTTTTAGTGGAGCTTCAGCATTAACAGCTAGTATCTTTGTTTTGATCACAGAAGCAGATCGGCTGGAGGAACGTCACCCGTCTGCTGGTGTTCTCCACTGACGCGGGTTTCCACTTCGCAGGAGACGGGAAACTGGGTGGGATCGTCCTGCCCAACGACGGGAAGTGTCACCTGGAGAACAACATGTACACCATGAGCCACTACTATGTAGGTAGCCTTCCTGTTTCCAAAACTACAGAATATGTCCTGCTCTCCCCCCGGCATCATCAGCCTGAGGGTTTTTATATTTGTCACATTGCAGGATTACCCGTCCATCGCTCATCTGGTTCAGAAACTAAGCGAAAACAACATCCAGACGATCTTTGCGGTAACTGAGGAGTTCCAGTCGGTTTATAAGGTGAATGTTCAGCTGCTTTACCAAATGAATCAAAGCTCAGAGCTGCTTATCAAACAGGCCTCTTCTTGTTCTGCTTACAGGAGCTCAAAAACCTAATTCCCAAGTCAGCTGTTGGAATGCTGTCCTCCAATTCCAGCAACGTGATCAAACTCATCATCGATGCCTACAACGTAAGAGTCATGCATACCTCCTGTTATAGACGAGCAGCCATCCCAATCTGACAGACGATTTCTGTTCTGACTGAGCCTCGATAAACTGACATCAGTTTTAAAGTCAGTTTTTTTTATTCACCAACAACACTGCCAACATACACACATGATTGGAGCTCTGACCTTCACACAGTCAGCAGCTTTTTTTTTGTATTAATAACAGAGGTGACATCACTCAGTTAAGGCTGATTTATGCTTAGTACCAGGTGCAGTTAATGCAGATATGCCCCCCCTCCTGCCGCAGACATTCTAGTGCACCTCTCCAAAATTGTAGGTGACCGCAGACAGGAGTCCTCTGATTGGTCAAATCTACATCCTACTATCCACTATCCGTATTTCCTCTTTGGTTCCTTACCGGCTTGTTTTGTGTGTATGACCACCATTGTGGAAAACCACTCGTTAAGTTGGACCAGCTGGAAGAGCGAGGTGCGAGAGAACGTTGGGATCCTTTTTCCACCTGGATCCCCGCTCTTTTCACCCTCATGTCCCTCCGTTGTCATACAAACTTGCCCTCACTTCTTCACCGCCTCGGCCGTATCTAGACCAACAGCTAGTTCCTGATTGTCCCTCTTGCGTTGTGGCGTAGAATAACATAGCGGAGATCATGATTACACCTTTGGCATAAATCAAAAATACCTGCAACAAGCTCACTGCGACGCACTGCTGTAGGAGGATAACCCGCCCTTTAACATTCCAAACCAGCTTTTGCATCTTATATTAGCAATTAGTGCAGCAACAATGGAAAAAAAACAATCTAGAAATAATTTCAGTGTATTTACCCTTGATTTGAATATGTAAATAAGATAGTTTGCCAATGGAATGCGTATTTCTATTCTTAAAATAAAATATTAGATAATTTGCACTTGAATTAAGACAATGCAATTGTGTTTTCTTATTTTAAATCAAAAATGTTCTTGTTCCATTGGCAAAATGTCTTTTTACCTCTTCAATTTAAGAACAAATGCACTTATTTTGATAAAACAAAACAAAAGACTATCTATTTTTTATTTTTTTTCTTCTCCAGTGTAGCTTTACTACCGGTATTAGTCTCTTTCTGCAAACTGCAAAAAAAAAAATAGATAAATCTAAACCAGCCAATTTTTCTTAAAATAAGTGCATTTTTTTTCTTCAATTGAGGAGCTAAGTGGGAAACTGCTCCCCATTTTGGAGTCTCTAATGCTGGCATACGCCCCTGTAGAGTCCTGCTACGGGTGGGGTACCCGCGGGTCACCCGCTAAAATGCTCTTTTGCGGGTGAAAAATACATAAATAAAAATAAATGGGTCGGGCAGATATTTTTTTAGTGCGGGCGGGTAGTTGGTGATTTTTTTTTATGCGTGTGTGTTGTTATGGACATCAGAAATGTTATATTAATCAGGCACTGTCTGGGGTCACCCTTGTTGTAGCTTAAAGCCCTGCCGGCAGTGTGGGCTTCCCTCCAAAAAGGCCACAGTCAGTGCATACACTTCTGCTGCAGTGTTAATGGCGCTGTTCTGCAGCGCAGCATACTATAGCCTATTACTAGATCTGTTAATGGGTCGGGTTACGGGTTAAATATCAACGGGTTGGGTCGGGTTTGGATTTGAATTGAAGATATCTGCAGGTGACGGGTCGGGTTCGGTAGTGATCCGGGCGGGTGCGGGTTGGTAAAACTCGACCCGTGCAGGACTCTACGCCCCTGCTTTCCAGAACACCTATCCCCCCGCTTATAGCCTGAATAAATGACACATTTAACAAAAACCTATAGAAAAGACGTGTCAGTGCCACCTGGTGTTTTCAATCTAGTGTCTATGATAACTGATTTATTTCTACCTTAATCATCTGTTAAATGAGCTTCTGTCATAAGTTCACTTTTCACATGCAGGAATAAAACAGACTTACAAATAATAAAAGATTCAGCTAAAATTGGTTTTTAATATTTCTTTCTTTTTGCAGTCATTATCTTCTGAAGTCACTCTTGAAAACGGGAAGCTGCCAGATGGAGTTGCTATTTCCTATAAGTCCTTCTGCAAGAACAACGTGGTCGGAACAGACGAGAACGGCAGGAAATGCTCCAACATCTCCATCGGAGACGAGGTAATGAGAATCAGGCAGATGCATCTGAGGAAAAACTTTTTCACAAAGCTTCAAAGTCTTTCCCTCGTGTTAAGTGTCAGTCCTTCAAACAGATGAGAGATAATCTTTTTTTGGGGGGGTTTCAGGTCTTTTTCCAGATTACTGTAACATCGGAAAAATGCCCATCTACTGGGAAGCAGGAATCCTTTAAAATCAAACCTCAGGGCTTCCAAGAGGAGGTAGAAATAGTTCTGGATTTCATCTGTGATTGTGAATGTGCTGCGAAGGGAGAGACCAACAGTAAGAAGTGCTCCAAAGGCAATGGCACCTTTGAGTGCGGCGCCTGCAAGTAAGAAACAGTTATTTTTGGTGTTTTTGTCTGCAAAACTTTTTTAATCTGCAACTTTGACTTCAGAATAATTTGGCTTCCTCAATGTTTCGCTTCAGGTGTAACGAGGGTCGCATCGGCCTGGAGTGCGAGTGCAGCAAAGACGACGTCCGAACCGACGACCTGGACGCCAGCTGCCGAAAGGACAACGGCACCGACATCTGCAGCAACAATGGCGACTGCGTCTGCGGTACCTGCGAGTGCAGGAAGCGGGCCAATCCTGCAGAGGTTTACAGCGGCCAGTACTGCGAATGTGACAACTTCAACTGCGACCGTTTCAACAACAAGCTCTGTGGAGGTCAGAACCGTAGTGCATTTATGCCGCCATTAACTATATCTGTGTTCATACAGTGATGTGAGCACAGATTTCTAAATTCACAATGCAGTTGTTAAACTAATCGTTATTTAACAGCATAAAATGTCCGGGCCTGGGCTCTGTATGTGTGGAGTTTAAATGTGTTTTATTTTCTTTTTAAGCCATCTAAATCTTCATTAACTATGAGTGTGCCTGGTTATAAACAAGAAATACAACACAAAGTAGGCAAAGCTCTCAAAAAGCAACAAATCCCCCAATCTAAAGAAATGTAGGAATAAATATAAATCAAACTCTCTCATATCTGTCATTCTGAACAGATTAAAATCCATTTTTATGCATTTTGGAGGCCAGTTTCCTTCCCACTTAAATGCACACCTTAAAAAAGTTTGAGAAAAAGGAAAAGATAATTTGTGTTGTTTCCATTTGGTTTAGAAGCGAATTACGAAGCGACCAAAAAATGTCGCCACTTATCATCCTCATTATGTTGTCATGCATGGCTATAATAAACAGAAGTGTTGCAGAATGTGTTGCAGTAGGGCAAGTTGTTCTTACGTCAACATGTCAGCTATTAATGGCTGTGTTGCTTCCAGCCATGTCTCTGCAAATAATAAGAACATCAGGGAAGATGCTGACAGCAAAAACAGCTGATCAGTCATGAAAGCGAAAGATTTGCTACTTCAGAGCTAATTTTAAAAAAAGTATTTCCATCTCCTTTAACACCTTTTGGCAAAATTCAACTTCAAGCAAGCATAAAAACTTTTTTTTGGCAAATTTGAGGAAGTTGTTTTGAATGTTGCCATTCGATAAAGCTTTTTGGATGCAATACTTCAAAATGTGCTTAAGAAAAAACTGATGGAAACTACTATCCTACTATCCACAAATAGAGACAACAGAAACTAAACTCCACCCTCCCAGAAGTTTACACGCACCCTTAGTCACTCCAACTCAACATCGCATCATCGACTCACCCAGGAGTTCATTTTTTTCTTTTATTTCATTGTAATGTAACCTCGAAGTTGCATTGAGAATCAGTATCTTTTTCATAAGTAAGACCCGACCAAGGTAGAAGCCAGATTACAGCAAGTGCATACATTATGAACATTAAAATAAACCACAGCTACATGAATACCATTGTAGGCCTGAAAACCTCCTCTGTTATCAGAACAAAATAAAAAAACTCCTCAGAGGTCCTCAACACCTTTATGCAAGTATTCTGTTGTTTCTGTGATGTTTATCTCAGCACTTTGCTGAAATTCTTGTTTTGGTGATCATCTCTATAAGTTGATTTCATTACTTTCAAGGCTCAATAAGCAAAATATTGTTTTTATATTTTACTTAGCAGCTGATAAATCTCTTATTGGTCTAATTTCAATGTGTTTCATCTCCTTTTTCGAGATCAAAAAAATAAATTTCAAGTTTATCATATCCTGCTTTATGCAGGAGGTTGCAAACATGCTGTTAAGTGTTAAAGTAAAATGAAGATTTTGGAGTAGCCTGATGAGAGTCTGTACTTTAATTGAACTGAGATGCAGTGGCATAAAATTAGGTAGCTCTTCAAGTAGTCCTGCATGAGGATAAAATGGCAATAGTTACGCCAAGATGGGCAGAGCTAGTTAGTAGGTTAATATGGCAAAAGAAAATGATTCATCAACATGTATTGACTGTCATTGGACAAAAGCTTGTTTATCACAATTGACTGGAAGGACGGCTCCTTGTATTTTGGAGAACCTGATATGCGGAAGTATCTCATGTTATGATGCAGCAAAAACATTTTAAAGGGACCTGGAAGAAAACATATCCTTAAGGTGAGAGCTCAGATCTGAGATGTTCGGGTGGGCCGCTAAGCTAGTGACTGTTAGGTAGTGATGTTATGAGATGAGCCGAGGCTTTGAGGCGTGTCGAGTAATGGAGGGGGCGTTTCCCCGAAGTGCGTGTCGAGGCGTTATTCATTTAGAGGTGAGGCCAAAAATAATGTAGTCCGAGGCCTCGCTACCGTGATACCACGTGACCCTTTCGGGAAGTGGTTCGGGAAGCACAAGAATTTTCACAGGCATCTAAACAGCCTCAGTGTTCAGTCAAGAAGCTTAAAACTAATTTGGTTAGAATAAACAATGTAATAATCAAAATTTGAGCAAACCACCGGACAAAGTCAGTGTTGACACGTTACTCTTAACTAGTATTTTGTCCCTGCTATGGCCATCTACGTAGGTGGTGTCATCTGCAAGAGACAGGCTCTCACTCTAGAAGTTGATGGTTCAAGACCTGTCTTTGACTTTTGAAAAAAATTTTGAAAAAAATTACAAAAGATTTTATTATACACACCAACCATTAACAATTTCAAGGGAACTTGAAAGGGGAAAAGGAGAAAAACGGTTGCAAAAAAACGCCACAGATTTTATTCCAAACTGTAGTTCTGCCCTCCACCAGTAGGTGGTGACATGTTCACATGAAGCCTCATTAACTGTGGGGATCATTGAAGCAATTTGGCCAAACGGTTCAATGCCTCATGAGGCTTCATCTCACCATCACTACTGTTAGGACTGGAGCTGCTAATTTTTCCCGTATGTATTTAGCTCTTTGTGAGGTAATTTTGTCGAGGATCAATCAGGTGAACCAAAAACAAACAGCTTCAGCCACCGGTTCCAGTTTCTCTGTTGTCTTTTATTCCATTTCACTCTGACAAAACATTTTATCTCGAGCTTCCAAGAGCTCAGTGCTTATATAATCAAGTGGCAACACACCTGTACTTGAGTGGACCAAGCCTCAATTACTCAGGTAAAAAAAATAAAACAAAGTCTAAACAGAGAAACAAGAACAAAATTAATCTAATTTACAAACTCATCTACATAAAGAGTCTGCAAAATAAACTGTGTGATACAAGATAACTCAAAAAGTTACTTTAACTTTAACCCTCTAAATGGTAGAACCCAGCAAGGTAATGGATGACATCATTTAGTCAATTTAGTAGGGAATACTTAAACAAACAATTGTGAGTAAAAAGGAAAACAAAAACCATGAATATATTTTGAAACAAAAAATTTCATCCAATAATCCTGAAGTAGTAGCTTTAACCTAAACATAAGTAGATGGAACCCGGGATAGTAAGTGAAAGTCAAAGTTGCAAACTAATGTTTAAATTTAAGGTTTACAAATCAGAAGAAAGAATAAGTACAAGTGGTAAACACAAACTGAAACACTTTGTCACACTCTTAGCCACTGATTTCCAGCTGTCTTTGTAGGTAACGGGCGCTGCGAGTGCAGAAAGTGCATCTGTGATGCCAACTACACGGGCAATGCCTGCGAGTGCCCGATGGATACCTCAACCTGCCTCGCCAAAAACGGACAGGTCTGCAATGGGCGCGGCAAATGTGAATGCGGGACCTGCATGTGCACCGACACCAAATTTCAGGGCCCCACCTGCGAAGTCTGTCCTACCTGTCCGGGTGTTTGCCCAGAGCACAAGTGAGTCAGAATTTCCTGTTTTTTTATTTATTTTTTATTTTTTCATTAAAAATCTTCTATTATTTGGATTAGGTCCAAAAGGTTATTTTAGTTTCACAAGTCAGACCCTGTCTGGATTGTTTTATTCAAGGAATAACTGAACCTGCAGACCACAAGAAGGAGGACAATCGATTTCATATGATGAGTCACAATAAGGGCAGATTAATAAAGGAAATTGTCACTGATATTTATCAGACTGGAAGCTTTAGGACTGCATTGAAATGCAGTGAGAACTTATAATTAATAAATAGAGAAAACAGGAAACAGGGAAGAGTCTTCCCAAAAGTGTCCAGTCTGCTGAAATTACAATAAGGGCTCTGCAGGATTTATCCAGAAGGTCACAGTACAACCCAAAGCAACATCTAAAGAACCTCAGGCCTCACTTGTCTCAATTAGAGTCGATTCTCATGTTTTATCAATAAGAGACTGAAACGACTTCCATCGAAGTCTCCTGACTGAAGATGCAACACAGGTGTGTCTGAAATGTACTCAAATCTTTCTCCGTATTCTGTTTGCTACAGTGATGATAGTTGGGTCTTCTGACCTGTGAGGATTGTTTTGCTGCTTAGCTGCTTCACACCTAAATGACTTAAATTAATTTATGGGCGATGAAGCTTCCTTGGAAAACCCTAAAGGGGAATTTCTGCCCAGTTTATGACCTTATGCCCAGAGTCTCTTTGGCTACGTTCACACTGCAGGCCTTGATGCTCAATTCTGATTTTTTTTTTTTTTATGAAATCTGATTTTTTATTTTTTTTTTTGGCGTTGCTGTTCACATTTCCAAATATATGTGACTTGTATTCTATCTTCTATCTCGTAATGACCCACAGGCCAGAATGCTCTGTGTTTACGGAAGTAAACATGAATGGTAGCGCCGGAGCGCATCTAGCGATCTTTCCAACCTTAAAAACTCAATCTTTTCAAGATGGTTAAACATAAATACTGCTCTCAGCATAATCATTCATCATGGTTGTTGTTTTTCTTGCTTCTTCTACGTAGCAAGACCCAGAATAGTGACCTTTGTCTGGTATTAATGATGTTCAGGTCGGATGAATGTGACCTGGCCGTTCACACACAAGGTCGCATTTGAAACGATCAGATTCTTATCAGATTCAGGACCACATAGCCAAGTGGCCTGGGTCGCATTGGAAAAAATCGCATCTGTGTTGTTCAGACAGCCATGAAAAGATCAGATCCAGGTCACATGTGGGCAAAAAATGTTTATTTTGGTCACTTCAGGCTGCAGTGTGAACGTAGCCTTCGTGTTTTGTCTGCATGATGGTGATCCATGTCACTCCTGAAAGACTTGCTCTGAACTGCTCAAAGAAATGAAGGTTTACTTATTGGTCCAATTAGAGTCTTGACTTTAATCTTTGTGTTGGATTAATATGCAGAAATCTGCCATTGGTGGAGAACCATTTAGTGTGACTCAGTTTAAACATTTATACAAAGAATAGTGGTCCAGACCCCATCCTCATTGATACTTCCTTTTGAGTTTTTTATTTTTATTTTTTTTTTAGGGGGGAGGGGCTGTTCTTACTGAATAAAAGAAGAAATAATTTTAAAACTGCATAAAAATGGAAGCTTTTAAATTCATAGAAAACAGCCCTGAAAATAGGGTGTATGATGATTACGATGTTTTTTTTGTTTTGTTTTTTTTCCTCTTGTGTATACTTTGTATAGAGGATAATTAATTCAAAATAAAAGCACAAAATGTTTAATGTCAATGAGGGTCTCGGTCAGCCAGAAATGTTGTGGGGGTTGGAACAATGATATAATCAATTGCTAACATCTTTGCTAAGATTTTTTCAGTCCTGGAGTTTCAGAGGCCAAGCCTAAGCTTTCCATTACAGCTCTAGAAATGCTGCGCTGTGCTCTGTGTCTCTACCCAGGGATTGTGTGCAGTGCCTGACCTTCCAAAGTGGTGAGAAGAAGGACACCTGTAGTGAGGACTGCAAGAAGATCCTCCTCAAAAAGGTACCAGAGAGGGACAACCTACCTCAGCCTAATGACCAGTCCTTCCCACTCACCTTCTGCAAGGAGAGGGACGAGAATGACTGCTGGTTCTACTTCACCCTCGCTGTCAGGGACGACATCAAGGAGGTCCATGTCGTGGAAAAGCCTGGTAGGTTGGACCAGCTGCTTTCATTTAATGCAGATAATTTAGTTTATTCATATAACACTAATAAACAGCACATGCCATCTCAAGGCCTTTTATGACGACAATTCAATCAGATCATACAGTCAGATTGGTAAAAACTTTCTGTCTAATGAAAACAAGCTGCATCGAGTTGACATCTTTTAAAGGACAAACACCTCCTGGATGTGGCAACAGTAGATATTGGCTTGCGTTGTGTTGTCGACTCTTCAGTAGTCCCTCACTCTGAGCATGCATGCAGCAAGAGTAGAGAGGAAAAGCTCCTTTTTAACGGGTAGAAACCTTCAGCAGAATTGGGGTTCAGAGTGAACAGCCAAGGGGCTCAAGGAGATGGAAGCAGACATACAAAAAGAACAGAAGCACTGATCTATAAATAGTTTCCATATTAGAAAAGGTAAAACTGAACAAGCTCTGCCTGGGAAAGAAACGGTTATGCACAGGAGCTCTGAGCCATTTTAATGTCAAAGAGATGAAAGAGAGATGAAGCTACTATGAGAAAAAGCTGAGAGAGCAGAATGTCAGAGATTGATCTAACAAATACTGCAGAATGGGAGAAAAGGGATAGAATGAAGAAAAATGGGTCCCTATGTCCTCCAGCAGTCTAAGCCTATAGTAGCATAACTATAGAGGTAGCTCAGGATAACCTGAGGCCTATAGGCGTTATCAAAAAGGAAAGTATTAAGCATACCCTTTAAAGTAACAGAAACCAAATATAGAAAATAGTGCTTTAAGACTTTATCCCCTTAACTCTTTTCAAATTGCTGAATCAGTCCATTGTTCCATCTTTTCTTTCTTTGCATCTTAAGCCTGATGTTGAAATGTTTACCTTCATCCAGTAAAGCATCAAGTTAGAGTATAAACTACTGCCTGTTAGAGCCTGGTCTTATAGAGGGCAAATAATTATGTTGAAACAGAAATAATTCTCTTTTCCTGTTTTAGAGTGCCCAGCTGGTCCTGACATCATCCCCATCGTGGCGGGTGTTGTCGCTGGCATTGTGATGATCGGCCTTGCGCTCCTGCTCATCTGGAAGCTCCTCATGATCATTCATGACCGCAGAGAGTTTGCCAAGTTTGAGAAGGAGAAGATGAACGCCATCTGGGACACGGTGAGTGGGTTAGACCAGGACTTGAAATGTTTAAACTTCTCACACTACCCTGACTTCACTGCCTCACCAACATATCCTCACAACTTGAACTTTTTACCTGTTCTTTTTTCATCTTACAACCAAGTCATTTAAAGGATAGAGCAGAAAGATGGAAAGATTTTTTTTTACAAATCTGAAAAGAGAACAGGAAAAACCTTCTGTCGCTAGATGTGACAGGCTGTCAGAACGGCTGGAATTCCTCTGCAGACTAGTTTTAATCTTTAAACATCTGAGTGTTTTTTATAGAATTTTTCAATTCCATCTTCTCTGTTAGTTAATTGAAATGAAAAATATTGAAACAAGGAGATGGATAAAGAATTAGAGCTTTCCTTATTGTCTTTTGAGGGAGTTGCCTCTTCCCTTTCTGTAATGCTGCCCCCTAGTGTCATTATTTGCTGCAAAAACACCATATTAAAAGGAAGAAGGCAATCAGCTGGATTTGGACTACTGCATAAGCAGCTCTTGGTTCTGATTGACCACAGTAGGACTAAAAAATACTGTGGTTCTTGATCAGTCGTTCTCCAGGACTGTACTGATGAGCAAAAAAAAAGTCTGAAGAGAAGCAATGAAAGGACATGATAGCAAACTGTGAAGACAAAAAAAAAAAATCCTGACTTTTTCTTCTCCTCTTCAACTGCAGGGTGAGAATCCCATCTACAAAAGCGCTGTCACAACTGTGGTTAACCCGAAGTACGAGGGGAAATGATTGAGCTTCTCTCTCCTTTGTGACGACACTGTACATGAGGAGGAAAATGGCCGAGGGAAGGAAGCCGAGGGGATCGAGCAGGGGGGGGTTTTATACAACAATGTTCACTGTTTGTCGTCGTAGTGGCCAAATGATAGATGCATCCTACCACTGTTTTTCATAACTTGTTTTGATTTTCTTTGCTTTATCTTTGTAAAAAGTCTGGATTTTAGAAAGAATGTTTTTTTTTTAATGGAAAAGCTAAGGGGTGCCTTTACCTTTTACTGAACCCTCCTCTGGAGGGTTGCTCTGTTCAGTGGGAGGGAATCAATCCGTCACCGGGAAAAGAATCAAATATTTTAAGATGGATCTGCCGTCTGACTAAAGGTCAGAGGAATAAGGAGTTTGTTTTTAAACCTGCATGTATGAAATGAAATGTGTACAGTCTGTTTGGGGCTCTATGTAAAGCCATATATGAATCTAAAAGACATGTTTGCTTTTTTTCTGCAGCTGAACAATCATTTTAAGTCTTATTTTCTCTGCGTTTCTCTGCCTCTATAAGGACGTCGGTTTACAGTAGCTTAACTGTTTCAGGTCTTATTGGCTCAACTTGAAGCCATCTCAGGTCCTTCATTTCAGCAGCACCAAATACATGCCTTATTTTGTTGATAGAATATTACTTTGAAATTTTTTATTTTTATTTTACTTCTTGCCTCAATCAATGGTTTAGATCTACAGAAAACAGGGGTTTTGATTTACGATTTTGTTCCTGTCCTAAAAGAAAACTGCCAAAATTATTTTAAAGTGCCTTCACACATTTGTTCAAATAAACCTGGTTTGTCAAATTATTTATTAAATAAATCAAACCAACTTACCCCATAACTGGGTCTTATTGAGCAATTATTGTGTTTTTTTTCCTCATCTGACTGAATTCTCCTTTTTTTAAAGGGATGTAAATAAATGGCCATTCTTCTTGGCCTTTTAATAATTTATCAGATAAAGTAAATTTTTAATAGGTCACCGTGACGGTCACTAAATATTGAACTTTTACCCACATGTTTAAACAGACTATTTCTATTTACCGTATGTGGAAATATGGCATTAAATCTATCTTCAATGTTTTGCTTTCAAGCATGAAAATTTCAGTGCCTTGCAAAAGTATCCATACATTATATCCACCAACATTAACAAAATCTTGTAAGTATATGTCATAGACCAGCAGGAAATAGGAATGAGAAGGGGAGTTTTTTTTTTTCCTCTTCAAACATATTTGAAAAGTGTGGTGGGCATTTGAGTTTGGATTCTGCCTTCACTTAATCAACATAGTAGACAAAGTAAAATGGGAGGCAGATCTTTTAGTTATCAGGCTCCTCTCCTGTGGAACCAACTACCAGTTTTAGTCCGTGAGGCAGACACCCTGTCTACTTTTAAGGCTAGGCTTAAAACTTTCCTTTTTGATAAAGCTTATAGTTAAAGTGGCCCAGGTTATCCACTGCTATCTCTATAGTTATGCTGCTATAGGCTTAGACTTCTGGAGGACATAGGGACCCCCATTTCATCATTCTGCTTCATTTTATCTATTCTCCCTATCTGTAGAATCTATTAGTTCAATCTCTAACATTCTGCTCTCTCTGCTTTTTCCCATAGTAGCTTCATCTGGTCTGTTCTTGTATGGCTGTGACTTCATCCTGGAGATAAATATTACCTTTGTTTCTAGATGTTGGAGCTTGGCCTGTTTTTCCAGTGTAGTCCTGTTTCTCTGACTGTGACTAACTGGATGTGCTCTCTTCATGCTCTCACATTGGAGCTGGCTCTGAGCTCTTCTGCCTGGCTGTGTGTTTCCTGGACAGGGCTTTTACGGTTGCCTTATGTATCTATGCTTCTTTTTCTGCTTCTGTCTCCTTGAACCCCACTCGGCCTTGGCAGATGGCAAATTACATTGAGCCTGGTTCTGCTGGAGGTTGCTTCCTATTAAAAGAAAGTTTTCCTCTCCACTGTCGCTACAAGCATGCTTGGTGTGAGGGATTGCCTTCGAGTCAATGAGTCGATGCAATCAACTGGTTTTCCTTAGATAGAAAACTTTCAATCAATTTGACTTTATGGTCTGGTTGAATTGTAAAGTCTTGCGATGACATGTGTTGTGAATTGTAAATATATAAATGAACTGAATAGAACATAACATGATTAAATGTGATGGAAATCATCTCCCGCTATCAGTTAAGGTGTGCAGTACTGGTCTCCATCCATCTTACCATCAAGTCTGATCAGCTTCTCTGTCCCTGCTGGACAAAAACATCCCGAGGCATTGTTCTGCAACCATCATGTTTCAGGATGGGCATAGCATGGGGATAACAAACATGTCAGCATCAAGCTGTAGACATGACTGTTTTAGAGACTAAACTAGCTCTCTTGTTTTAATCACCTTCTGCTCTTCCACTAATTAAAAAAGCATCACCGGTGAACCCTCGGGCATGTAAACAAGTCGCCTAATTCCACCATTTTCCACCAGTGTGTTACTGGCCCTCCCAAACAACTCACATCTTTGTCAGCGAAGCTGAGTGCTCCCACAGCTCTTCCTTCATGGTGCCCTTTAAAATTAAGATAGAAAATTCTGACATTAAAGTCAGAAATATGATATTTAATTCAGAATTCTGAGAAAAAATTGCAAGAATTCTGAGAAAAAAAGTCAGATTTCTGAGAAAAGAGTCAGAATTCTGAGAAAAAAATGTCAGAATTCTGAGAGAAAAGTCAGAATTATGAGATGAGAGTCAGAATTCTGACTTTTTTTAATATTAAAATGAAATATTTAAAATCCAATTAACTTTTTTTTTTTTTCCAGTGGGCCTTCTCCTCTTTTGTAAATGTTGAACTATACCCCTGGTTTTTATTATTTTGCTCCTTGTCAGCATGAAATAAAACTGGCAACTTAAACACCTTTGTATTTATCATTGTTCATTATTCGTTATTTAGCTTTTATTTACACTAAAATGGAAAACATTATCGGTATATTAAGTCATATGTGTTAAATTATTTATTTTCTATTAAAATTTCAGCATTATCTTAGTAAGAATATTTCTGCTAGCACATGCCACTCGCAATATGGCGGCACCGCTAACGTCGGACCCCGACTTTTGGGCAACATTCTCTTGTTTTCCTTGTATTTAGACTTTTTTTTTTTTTTTGCCGTGGAATGTTTTGGGGCTTAAATTGGGGATAAAATAAGTATCTGGATTTGGTTATCGATACCGAAGTCATTCTGGTCCTTGATAAGATCCGCGGTTCTCATCTCCAGAACCGAGTCCTCGCCAGCCAATCACATCTCGTCCCATCCCCTGTGGAGCCTCTCCACAGGTGATTGGTGGCCTCAGCTGTCCAATCAGATGGCGTTTTTCACAGCAAAGTTGTTAACCCCCAACAGTAGCACTTTGCTTTCCAGCTCTCTAGTTTCGACCAACGGTAGCAAAATAGGGAATTTTTACCGACTGAAAGACGCCGTTTGATGGCATAAATCCTCGGCTGGAACCGGTTGCTTCTCTCAAACAGTTTTTTTTTATTATTATTTTAATCACGAAACTCTCCTGAACCATCGGCGGCTAACGTTAACTCCCTCTGTAGCTCACTGCGTCGTGTTGCCTGTCGTCTCTCGGTTTTTCCATCTTCTGCTGGTTAAACTTGCAGAAATGAACCCGCTCTGCCCCGAAGGCGGCCGCATTTCCTCACGGATCTATTCGGTGAGTATTTACCTGCTTGGTTTTTAACTCTAACGGCCAGAATAAAGAGGCCCGTCGTGATTAGTGTGTTTTCTGGCATCAGATGATTTCATACACGCAATCAAATTCCTGGCTGGTCAGCTGGATGCAATTCAACAGTAAAACCACAAGTTTCTGCTCAGTTTTTCTGCCCTTAAAGCTACCAGACATACACTGGTTAATGGACATATATATATTTTAGACATGTTATATTTTATATCTTAAATATAAATGATAAATAGGTTGGGTTTTTTGAGATTAAACCACAGTTGAAGGGGTGGAGGCGAGGATCGTTAAAGGATCTCTGTGTTTAGGGCTTTCTGTGTTTTTTTACACCTCTTTCTCTGTTAAGAGTTTTGAACCTGATGGCAGGCAAATGTGGGACATTTTTCTCCTGGATCATTTGCAGCTTTTGGGTGTGTGGCTGAACAGTGCCAGGCTGTCCCTGTGGTCTGCCCTGGAACTGCTCGGCCTGGATCAGTCACTGCAAATATTATCTAACAAACACAAAGCCAGCTTCTGAAAACAGGTGGAAGGGGATGAAGCTGGCATCAGATGGGCATCATTGAAAGGCATTGTTAAATTAAACCCACCAGAACTCACCCTATCTGGTTGATAATATGAGTTTTTTTTTCCAGTTCTTTCCTGTGATTATCTGAACTCTTTCCCCTATTGTGGGACTAACCCCACCCTCATGGCACTTCTGTTTGTCAGCTGGAGGCATGTGAGGCTCTGAGGATCTATTTTAACTTAGATATAAACGCAATCATCATCCTATGTAAGTATTTTTAGGGTATGATTTTATAAGGTTTTTCCACTGATGCCAAGAGCCTATTTAAAGCTGCTTATAACTTAAAACAGTTAAACATATAAAGAACTCTAGTTTACATTAAAACTTGTACAAATTCCCTATATTTAGTTGATTAAAAATGCAAGTTAATTGACTTGCTACATCTTTTATTCAACTAAAAGGATAACTACAAGTACGAGTAAAGGTGCGATTTCAGAATCCTAATACTTCTTGATTTTGAATTCCCGTAAGACTCGACAATGAAGCTAGAAGCCTGGACGTTAGATCTAGGAGTATAAACCTGTCACTGGAGGAGGGGCAGTCTGTCTGTACAAGGGCTCAGAAACAAACACTTAACTCACGCTTAAGGTTAGTGCAATACAAATGGTTAATGCGAATCTATATTACCAGGGGCGGAGCTAGATTAAACCCCAGGGTTTAGTCGTACAGTGTGAGTTCACAGCTCACGATGTATGTGCAGCACGACGCTCTCACCTGCTACCTGCTCACACTGTACGTCTAAAAACCACGACAGACTCAGCTCCGCAGTGAGATGGCGCTACTCAGACTCCATCTGGAAGCCAAACAAGTAGAAAAGGAGGAATATGGAGCTCACTAAGGTGAAACATCCTGCTTTGGCAACCTAAGCTATTTTGTGCTGAAAACCCTAAAAAGAAAAGGCGAGAACATATTTGGACAAAGACATGGCTACTAAGGTCTGTCAATTTTTCCAGAAATAACTCCATTTCACTCGCATCCCCACCATGCTTCTATGTTTTCATCTGAGAGGAAGAAGAAGAATTCCTATTTGTGCACTGAGCGATTTTCCCACGACAGTCAAACATGTGTGATTATCTACTGACCTCAGGATTCCTGATCGAGAGGTGGTCGTGAGAGGCTGATCGCCCCTCATTACCCTCTGTACACCACACGACGCACGATCAAGC